TGTCATGAATCTCATTTTTTCGTTCTTCTTCTTCTTTTTCTCTTCCTCCCCTTTTTTCTTCTTCTGCTATTCTTCTTCTTTTTCTTTTCCCTTCCGTTCTTCACAATCTTCTGCCTCATAGTATTGTCCGACTTCACTTCCATTTTGTATGCATGATGTTGTTTGCAGGCCTGCAAACCCTGAATGCAACACCCCCCTTACCACTCTCGACCTCGACCCCCTCCCTCCCCCCCCTTCCCGACACACCACAAAAAAAGATTCCAACATTCAAAGTTTTCTTGCGGAATCTGACAGATCTCGACAAGCGCACTCGAATCCCGCGGAGGGGAAAAAAAAAAAAATTGGGCATTTTTTTGGGCCATCCGGTTTGCCGGTTGACCCCCCCTAGCCCGGTCCGGCCCCACTTGGACCGGGCCAGCTCGACCGCCCGGTTGCCAGCCCAGCCCTGGTACCAACTGCCAAAAAAAGCCCTGAACCGATGTGCCAAACCTATCTATAGTCTACTCTAGCCCAGACTCGACCTAGACCGGACTGACTGACCGACCGGTACCGTTTCTGTTTCGGCCTCTAGGGCCTCTCCCAACCCGGCTATAGGCTATAGGACCGTTTATCAGCTTAGGCCCTTAGGGCCTGTCTGTCCTAGGGGTAGCCCGAGTCTGTTATTCGCAGTTAGGGTAGCTGTAGGAAATTCAGTTAGTACGGCCTGTATTTTCCCGAATTTACAGATATGCCCCTCACGAATTTTCCTTACAGGCAGGTCTCTCGGTTAAGCCCTCAGCCAAACAAAATAACGAATCTAACCTATAGATAGTACAACCTCGACAAGACAAAGGCTACAGACGACCAGAAACCAGCATGTCATTGCATCCCTAACAAATCCATGTGCTGAGATCTGCTAATGGCCTGAAGCAAATTAAGGATACATTTCACATGAAGAACAATCACCACCGAGGAACAAACATTCAAAGCCATAGCCTGAGCGCAATGGAACAGAGACCATCTAATGACTATTTCATGTAAATGAAAGGACTTCACGTTGCAGATACATGAGCCCCAGTTCCAAGGTCCCAAATTGCCTCAGTCCCAATAGGGCCCGATCCCAGATGGTGCCGGTCCCACCTGTCATAGTAGTTAGGGTCTGTAGGGTCCCAGGGCCTGTAGGAACTTGAAGCGTTATAATCCATGTCGGACCAATACCGAACCAGACTGTTAAAAGTCCACCCGATGCTTGACAAGAAAAGTTCAGGCTCGAGTTCAGTTTTGCAGCACCGTTCCAAGAAAGTCCGCAAGGTACCCGCCACCAACAATTCATCCAGCAGACAGCCCGCGGGCAACCGGTAGAGGTATCACGAGCTCAGACATGCACGCGCACCTGCAGCAGTGTATATTTTGATGTTCTAGCAGAAGATTGATTCAATTTTTTTCTTTTTCTGTTTTAAGATAGGATGAGCAAAATCGAACCAGTATATCGGTAGTGTGTGTGTGTGTGTGTGTGTGTGTGTGTGTGTGTGTGTGTGTGTGTGTGTGTGTGTGTGTGTGTGTGTGTGAGAGAGAGA